GCGTGGCCGAGGGGGCGGGGCCCGCAGTAGTGTCCGGCGTGATTTGGTAGATGACTTGCGCAGCCTAATAAGTGTGGTGAATTCGATTTGGAAGGTGGGTGAATTTGGTTTGAAAAGGGGTGAATTTGGTTTGAAAAGGGTGAATTTGGTTTGAAAAGGGTGAATTTGGTTTGAAAAAGGGTGAATTTGGTTTGAAAAGGGTGAATTTAAAGTGAAAATGGTATATATATAGAACTACTCTTAAAGACAAAATCTCCCCTCCGTGGATCCTGTGCCTTGCTATGTTTGTGGTCAATAGGTCTGCAGCTGCAACTGCGTGCCTCTTTTCCACCAAACGTGTACGGAAAGTGGACTAAAGTGAAACGATAGCCGGGTATTGTTTAGATACACTGACCACGGTGCCGTAGAGCCGGCCGCACGCCTTGCCGGGTGTGAAGAGGGCACGCAGGCATCACAATACTACAACTCACCGTGCGCTTCTATAAAGATGGAAATTTTGTACAATTCCTCTTTGAAAGCTGAATGCACCACAATTTCTAGTTGCAAGAAGGCGGAGTGGAGCCAATACTTAGTGCAGCGGTGAAGCAAAAACGGAACCAAGAGGTCAAAATGCCTTAAGACAACTTACGACCGCTATGCTCGGAAGAGCATGCCCTTCCGATAGGTCCTCGCTGGTCAGCAGCGAATGCTGCAAATCACAGGTAGTGCGAAGTAAACGTCAAAGTACATTATTCCAAACTAGTCGGATCGCCCAGCTCACGCCGAGCTCTCGTCCTTCCCTTTAGCTCGTGCTCGCCGAGCTGGCATGACTTCGCCAGGCGTACTTTATTATGGAAACGGAACTTGCTCATACACTCTGCTCATGTCGCGCTGTGTTGGTCGAGTCGTAATAGATAGAGTAACTCAGCGGACTCTGCACTTCTGAGTCCACGCTTATGTTTGCAGGAGGGAGGTGGTTCCGTTATAATGCTTGTATTATTCATAACTAAAGTTATAGATGGAAACTACAGTGGGAGATACAGCGCGAATGAAACGTTAAGCGGATAAACGAGTTCCGTTTCTATTACCTGCATCGATGCCTACCGTGGAGCGCTCATGCTCATCTTTTACATTACCATGCAGTCCACTCACTGAAGTCCCATAAATATTTGAAAGTGCTAATATTTGGGTAACATTATACATTTTTACATAATTCATTTACTGAGCGTTCAAAAAAGGTTGAAAGTGAAAAATGCTGTTGAAATGTATCACATAAGTGAGGTTTTTTTTAATCTTGACTTTCTCTGAGTTTCCTGTTTCAGGCAAGCTTCATACCCTCCCCCTCTCTCAACATCATTACATGCATATAACCCATGTAGGGCTTTAGCAATTCGATCGAATAACAACGGCAATGTTTTTTATCGGCCGTTATCAGTAGTTATCACTGTCTGTCATCCATCGTCGACATTCCCACCTCCCCCTCTTCACTTTCTGAAATCAACTTATATCTGATGCTGTGTCCTGCGTTATGAACATCGTGACCTTCCCATTATGACTTCCCTTATCAAGTCTTATCAGCAGCGCACAATTCCTGTCACCCTGCGACAATGTTCGTGTCCCATACACTTTGTCATATGTTGGAGCCTACTTGATGCTGTCACTCGCGCTATGGGTGGCCATCGCCTTCTAACGCCTCTTATCGAATCTAATCGGTTGATATCACTTCCTGTCACCCACCAATAGTGTTCCCGTCACACCCCCTACATCACTTCTTGGAACCAATGTCTCACTGCTACTGGGACCGGCGCTATGAATTTCGTGGCAGACAGGCAGGCAGACGCACACACACGGACATTGCCGATTATATATGGTAAGATAGTGGAAACGGCTGATCCAACCGTGACCAATCATTGAAGGGTGCTGTTACTCGTGGGCGTGCAGGTGTAGTTGGAGTCGTGGTCTGCACGCGAAGCTTGACTAAGACACTTGACGAACGCTGACGACAAAAATGATGTACCCCGCTCAAAAATCCGCCACGCAGTGTCAGCTCAGGGGCGAGATACCATTTCCCACTAGGAGTACCCACTACTTCCCTTTTCCGCCTAGTAATTTATTGTGCTCATTGCCTTTCGACAGAGTAATCGCTTTGTAAAAATAGTTACTTGATTATTGCCAGGATATCACTCACGGTCAGTGCTTTCTTGTTATTCATGAAGTGGTAAGGTCATTCCCGATCAGGAAATTCTTAAGTAATCCTTCCCATTGTGTTCCTTACGGAGTGATGTGGTTCCACAACCCATCGAGTTCTCGTGCTGCTCTGTGTACCTCACACTGTTTCCGTGTGGCAGCGGATCTGCAGCATGCATTAGTACAGAATTATTTAGTGGATCCTCGTGCTCTATTATCCACGTCTCGAGCTCCATTCTCTGCCGAATCGCAAGAGAACGGAGGAGCACATAAGAGCTTTGCGGAGCCCACAGAGCTACCCGGAGAACCCATTCTCGAGACACCGCACACTAAGGCACGCTCAAGAAAGACCGCCGGAACTTCGCATCTCCATCTACACAGAAATGTGGTAGATCCAGTTGAAAGAAAGATCAGGGAGGCACTGGAAATAAAGCAACAAGGACCACCAATCAACAGCAAGGAGGAGATGAAAGTGGCAATGAGTTTGTTATCAATATAAGACGTGCAGAATGGAGACATACGTGACTTATTCGAGATCACCCTTGTCCCGCACCCTTATAAATGATCCCAATCCTTCCACTTTTATTTCTGCCAATACTGCTACGTAGTGAGGCCTGACGGAGTTTTGTACTCCTTCCCCCTTCTACATAGTGTGGGTTTTGCTATATTCACTTTATTAATGCTGTAACATTGTAAGGGTAGCTGTTTGATTTAAGATCGAGTGACCTGAAGAAGGGCTTATGCCCGAAACGTTGTCATATAATAAAGATTCAATGAAAAGAAGAGAAATGTCCTTATTCACTACAACAAGAATGAACACAGTGAAGCTTAGGAAACCATCAATTCTGAATAGTTTCATGTTGATGTTCATATGAGCATTTGCCTTTCTACTTGCTACAACCCTGCAGACAGAACGTTTTTTGACAGCACCTACTAATAACTTCGAATCATTTGCTGAAAGGTGCAATGCGGTTTCCTCTACATGGTCAAAAAACGTCACCAGTGTGAGCCCTTCCATAAAGTGATTGTCAGATATTGCGGTGACAAACGCGGGCTCTGGAAATTCACCTCTTTCTGCATTGAAGATCCCTTTCGTCGAAAGTAGACCTGAAAATTAAGGGCAGTATTTTATGTTTTGTGCATCGTTTGCCATTCACTCATTAGGTTGGTGCATAAGCTCTTAGCCCCGACTTTTTCGTAAATATCTCAATAGCGAACCAACCTGAAGATTAGAGGTATGCACCATCACCATCCACTACTCGACGCCAGCGCTCAGGCAGCTTGTCGATTCCTTCCTTCCAGAACGACGGGGGCTGGGACTTGAAGAAGTCGTCGAGTGCCTTTCTGACCTGATCCTTTGTTTCGAACTTTTTTCCGTCCAGATAGCGCTGCAGGTGGCTGAACAGCCAGTAGTCAGAAGGAGCGAGGTCAGGGCTGTAGGGAGGGTGGGCGACCATCAGCCATCCGTACTTCTCCAGCTCGGCCTGGGTCGCCTTTGCAGTGTGAGGTCGGGCGTTGTCATGGTGGAAGTAGATTTCCGCATTCCTTCCACGAGTACGGTCGACGTGATCTTTCAATTTCCGCAGCTGGGTCACGTATGTGGAAGCGTCAATCGTCTGTCCCTTCTCCAGCAGCTCCCAGTACTCCATGCCTCTTCTGGACCACCAACAGGACAGGAGAACCTTTTGGGGTGAAGGTCGGCCTTTGGGGTGGCTTCTGGCTGTTCTCCTTTGTCGACCCACTGCCGCTTCCTCACAGGGTTATCGTAGAGGACCCACTTCTCATCTCCAGTGATCATCGAGTTGAGAAAGTGAAGCTTCTTTTGTGAATCGTGAAGCAAAACCAGGCAGTGGCGCAGGTACATTCTGTCACAGTGGAAATTGTGCGACATTGTGGCCTGCAAATGCAAGGTGGGTGAGTGATAGCTAGTGTGATAAAAGAGTATGTGCCCACGGAAGGATGAAACACGGGGCTAAGAACCTATGCACCAACCTAATATTATCAGAACCCATATCTAATTCTGGTATGGATATGCTAACTTTACCTAGTTTCTTCAGTTCTGAGGCATAAGTGCAATTGAATGGCCGTCCTCGAGTTTGTGGTTGTTGCGGTAAGTGGTAGCAGAAATCATA